AGCGCCCTAGTACTTTCCTTGTTGATACTATCATTCAATCCGAGAACAGGACGTATTAGTTTGTAACATTTTGTAATGTTTCTGAAACACGAAAAAATGCTGGCTAGTTTACTAGTAATTTATTTTCGCTACTTAGACATGACTGTGCTTTCAATAGTATTAGCAAGGAGGTTCAAGTTTTTGTATGAAACGCCTACCAAAAAGGTAGTTATTAGAAGTCATGGTAGACTAACTAATGTTGGGCAACCAAACACATACATAAACGTTGCTTAAACAATTCGTCCTTGTTTCTTGCAACCCCCTAAGTTTTACCAAGGAGATTTTCGGATGTTGTCGTCATTTTTGTTCGTGATAACAAAGTAACAAAGAAATGAACTGGGTAACGTGACCCGGCGGATTCAAGTTATACAACTTGCGTATCTGTCACGGGCCGCCACAGAACGCCGAGAAAAAGCTTTCGAACCGTCATTTCTGACCAGATTTCTTTTCACAAAATAGAAGAAAGGGGATGTGCATTTGCATCAGGGTGACAAGGATAATTATTTTTTGTTTGACAATACGCCCGCGTGTTTGACAGTGCATAAGAATAGTGAATAAATTACGGGTTTTCTAAGAGTGGTGCACTTTAGTGGTAACAACAACAGACATCTGTGTTTAGAATTTGGCCGATTTCGTATATTCTCTTACTAGTTAAGACGAAGATATTTTTTGCCGAAGGTGAAGAAAAATCTTCTTTTCTCCTCAAGCGAAGATTGGAAGACAGACTTCGATTCTCAAATACTGTACATGGTCGATATTACAATACACATTTCTGTCTGGCACTGTCTGTCCCTAGCATAGCTCTGCATGAAAAATATAACAAAAACCTGTTACAGATATGCATCAAATGTGGAGTCCAAATCGGATTTTTTTATCACGGAGGTTACAAAAAGTTCCACGTGTTTTCCTTGTTTTCACAATTACTTAGTAGAATAAGATAGCAGTGAAGAAAGATATTTTCCTATAAAAAATACCTGCGTGAGAACAAAATGCATGTATGTTCTTTAGAGTATCATTTCCTAGTTACTTGTGTCCAAAAGGCTACTACGGCACGTAGTACCAAGGTCCTTGCTGGTACATGTACTTGTAATGCTATGTTCCCTTTTCTTTGTACAGGCACACGGACACCGATCGTCTGAGCAAGTAATTGGTCGGAGGAAAGCTAGCCTTGCGGGGGAGATCTCTTTTTACCTCCTTGGTCTTGCCAATATAGAATTGTTTTGGCCAATATCTGTTCTGGTTTTTGTTCCGTTTTGACTTTATACTGTTTGCTAGCTTGATACTCTGGGAATTATAATTTTACTAACGTTGGGATTCACACATGTCAACAGAATTCAATCAACAAAGCGAAATGTCAAACATTTCAGTCTCAACACTATGTTACTGGGAACAAGAAGGTACAACCTTAGAGTTAGGACCATGGAGGTAGAAGAGATCTACCTCCATGTTAGGACAAACTATGATCGCTCCAAAAACTATATTGATAAAAACTCTCGGAAGAGTCGGAACGAGTCGGCATGCGCATGCAGTATTCTCCCTCGTGCAGTTTTAGTCTCTAAGCACCTGTATGTATAAAGAAAACATACAAAAAGTTAATAACCTGTCAGAAATATATCTTATATAAAAATGGGGGGTTGTGACCCCGAGACTTTTCCAACAAAATCTGTTATATTCAGTGAGAGCTGTCGACGATACAAAAGAAAACATGACGCGCAACGGACTCGTACACCTGGTTTTGAAACGACCGTTGCGTCTCCGACTATCAGACACACCATATTCATTCTTGCTATAAATTAGTACTAGTATAATCTGCACCAGGAGGTTTAAACCTTGATCTGAATGATTAAAAAATATCCGCAGCTTTTCGTAGGTTACACATACTGACAGAAAGTAGACGTGTTCAAAATCCATTTAAAGTGCAGTAGAAAATGAATCAAAGCTCCTTGTGTTTAAATTATAACCTGCTTTTTTTATGTTTGTTTTTGTTACCAAATCGTATTCCGCATCTAATAGCGGCCGCCGTAGAATAAAATAGAAGCCCTGAAACATTTTATTGACAGCGTAATTTCCTGTATACCGACAACCTCCTTGGTAAAACAGAATTGCCGGCCACAACTTGGCACGCGTGTAGCGAAAGTTGTACCGACTTCTTTGATCTGAAACCCGAACCGCCCCTTTCGGCGGTTGCGTCGGAGTAAATCAATCAATTTTGACAGGGCTGGCCATGGGGCGCCGTGATGTCCTGGGAGAAATGTTCTACTACGACTTGTACGAGATGTGTGTGAATTTTGACTTTCAATGTCAGGATTACTACTCCATTCCTACAAGAACTCATTTTTGAAAACCACTGTTTTATTTAAAGCGATTTGGCGGATGCAATAACTCATGAGGTGTTTATTCAATACTTGATTGATATAATATGGAAAAAAAATACCCGTGGTCTTTCCTCCCCGTAAGCACATATTCAGCCCCGTGCCGAACAAAACACTGGCTTTTCGTTTTTGTGTTGTTCATTCGATCAGTAAGATCGTGCCGCCTCGTGGCCGGCCGGCCGCATCAATGAGGTTTCTGCTGGCCGTGTAAACGTCATGTGTCGACCAGTTTACTAGATATAGTCTAGTATATCATTCTCGCCGGGCTTTGGAAAAATTTTTGACCCGGGGGGAAGGACATAGGAAATCTTTTAACCACTAATCCTCACCGCTAAATATCGTACAAATTGTACACAGCTCTATTATAGAGCATTGCGCAATCCATTTCGGCAGCGCCGGCGGGAAACACATGGCGACGCAGAAGAAATCGGCAAATTATTACGCTGTGTTTGCGGGATAAATGCCGGCACACGAACTTTAATTATTATCTTCAAAGAATTACGACAGTTCCTATACGAAAATGGCTGGCCCAAAATGTAAACGGAAGGCAACTTTCGCCTGCAGCTGACTAATTTTGACCGGTAGATATAGGATTCTATTCGTGCGCCGTAATGGACACACAATATTACGACATTGCGCGCTGACGTGATCGGTATACAACTGTCGTAAAATCAAACGTAATTATTTCTCTACCGTGCAGACCAGTGGCTCATTATCGGTATCCCAGTGATAATGAGCTGACTCCCCGCTGATCTGGACTCCGCCCCAAATGTGCACACGCCGTGCGTACGAACGTGTACACGCCGTGCGTTTGTTTGTGTAACAGCGTAAATCGTTAAATTTTACGGTCCTGGTAGTGTATTTGCCTGTAAGGAACCCCCCAAATCCCCATTTTTTATATCTCCTTGTCATCTTTGAGGGTTGTGTTGACATAGACTCTAAAGAAAGAAGTTCCATTTGGATGTTACATTTGCCTGTAAGGAATCCCCCAAATTCCCATTTTTTATATCTCCTTGCCATCTTTTAGGGTGAACTAAAGAAAGAAGTTCCATTTGGACGCTGCATTTGCCTGTAAGGAATCCCCCAAATCGCCATTTTTTATATCTCCTTGTCATCTTTTAGGGTGATCTAAAGAAAGAAGTTCCATTTGGACGCTGCATTTGCCTGTAAGGAACTCCCCAAATCCCCATTTTTTAAATATCTCCTTGCCATCTTTGATGGTTGCGTTATGACTGTTCACCAGGGCACGGTTTTCCTCTCTTTGAAGACATGGTATTTTCCTAAGAAAGGATCCTAATGTGCCTGTCAAGCTATCTCAGGAATCCCCCGTATCTCTCCTTTCATCTTGTTGCCATTGAAGGCTGTGTTATTGATGCTGGGTAGAGGGGGGTAAGCAAAGCATGTCTTTTATCATTTCAAGTTCTGTAGGGTAGGATACCATTCTGGACATGAGGGGATGGAAATGTTAGCTGTAAAAATGAAACCTGGAAAACTTTAGGCTTTGTTGATAACTTTAGTTGTTATTTAAAGGCATGACTATTTGTAGTTTTCCAGGCTGGTATTAGGTACCTAGTAGTTAGTATATCCAGCTGTTTATTAGTCATTTTGTACATCAAGGATATGTAGTCAGGACATTATATGCAGGAAAAGTTATGGTGCTTATATCATATCAGACTTTTGGTCTCCAAGAATATAATCTTTTGAGATGGAAGGATGCCTTGACATGTACCATTATCTCCAAGAAGAATGGTACATGGATGTATGGCTTGTATATTATGCATACTATTATCTTTATGGCATTTTCTCTGTCTTTTCTGGAGGTCTGGACTTTTCTCTATCTTACCCTGCATCAGCTTGAAGCTAAGTTGACTAATAACAGACACAGGTGGCCACAGTATGTGAAGTATGGCCGAAGGTTGTCATTGATTAAACAGGACCTCCTCACCTCAGAGATCCCATGATTATTGCAATGTGTCTTCCCTACTGGAGGTTCTAATGCGGTATTGGATTGACCCAATTAACGTTTGGAAATACCTCAGGCATGAGGAAGTAAAGGATCGCACCCATGGAAAGTATTGATCATTCTTCATGTACCGAGCCATGTGATTCATGGACTTATGTGATTTATTTGCCAATAAAGTAGCAAGTATACAAGACTGAACAATGTGCATGTTGTTTCTTCCTTTAGAAAATCAATGCTGTTCAAACCCAAGGACTGTACTACTAAATTTTCATCTATGGTTACTGTATGGTCAGTTATTGTATTTGTAATTACCCCAAAAACTATAAAAACTGACCAGATCAAAATGGAGTTGGCATTGGGACACCTATCAACAACTGTTGGTACTACAGGGTCTGATATCAAATGGAATGACAGCAGGAATCAATGCATTGAGGAATGTTAACAAGGCATTGTTAGGAAAATGGGAATTTTGCTATTAAAATTTAATCTTACAAAAGGCTAGCCTAAAGTGCTGAATTCTATCAATACAATAAGGCACCAGCTTGTTATTAACTACACTTTAACTACCTGTATAGACTAAGTCTTGTATCTTTTTATAACAATTTCCTCCTTTTCTCCCCACACAGATGAATATCCATTCATACCCAACCACAGTGTTCTACAACCAGAGTGTGCCTCACTTCCTGAGTGGCATGCACCAGGCAGAGGAGCTGGTCGAGTTTGCACAGGTAACAGTTAGTACATTGTAGTTACATATTGATGATTAAGAGCTGCTGCCATGATATACACACTCACTCTCAGTCTCTTATCTGGAAGCCATAGGGCAGTCTGACAGTCCACAAACAGGTATTGTATTTCAAGATGAACTCTGTAAAGGAGGATTGAGAAATTTGAAGAGCAAGGTCAGCAAAATTAAGCTTGCAAACAGAATACTTTGTTTTTTTTGGCAAATCATGCTGTATAATACAATGTATACAGTACAACACATGAAGCTAGAGTCAAGACACAGATAATACAGGAAGTACTTTCCTTCTCAAAGGTGTTATGAAATGATACATGAATTGAAAGCTTGTTCTATCCCTGACAGGATACACTGCGTCCTCCTGTGATTATCCTAACGTCAGACAACTTTGTTCCCCTGATCGGAGACCGTGGGGATGATGACATGTGGCTGGTGGACTTCTATGCTCCCTGGTGTGGACCCTGTCAGGAACTGGCTCCCGAGTGGAGAAAACTTGCTAAGGTAGAATAGTAATGTTTGATTTTAGTTCTGTGTCAATGCAAGTTAGTGGAGAAGTAAAGGAGAAATAAACTACTGTACCGTATACTTTTAGAGTTGGCTTTTAGCACTAAAGATGCATACTTGTCTGTTTCCTGACAGACCATGCAGGGTATAGCCAATGTGGCACAGGTAGACTGTGACAGACACCGTGTCGTGTGTAACAATCAGGGCATCAACAGTTATCCAACCATCCGCCTTTACCCTCCTACATACACAGGCACAAGCTACTTCAAGTAAGTACTGTTACATACTGTTAGTAACATGTTAGTAAGTCACATAGTTCATATCATAATGTATATTATCTACTAGCAGATGTATTAATTTTGTGTCGTAAAACAATTCCATACATATTAAGAGAAATCTACACACAATTATTCTGGAATTTGCCAGAACAAAGGTTCTGGAGTAGTGGAAAAAAGGTTGATAAGAAATGCAACTGGATAAATTTTCCTATGAGTCAAACGTTTGAGATAGCATCCAATATGATCTTTCATTGGTGACTGAGAATGAAATTCTGAAATTCACAGAATGATGAAAAAACTTTTTTGCTTGATGTTGTACCTGGATGTCTAACATTTGTTGGCATAAAATGGGCTATGCTTCTAGTTGGGCAACTCTAAAAGCACTCCTTAGTTGTATTGTATATACATGTAGCTATCTAACACTCCTTTATTATCTTACTAAAGTCTTTTAGCTACATGTACACTATTTAATGCTACTTCATCCCATCCCAGAAAATACCCAAGCCACTGGTGGCGGAACGTGGCGTCCTTCCGTACGTGGATCTTCCAGCACCTGCCCAGTAAAACCCCTGAGCTGAGTCATGCAGAGTTCCAGAAGAGAGTTATCCAGGGGGAGGATGCCTGGGTGATAGACTTCTTCACACCCTGGTGTAGTCACTGTCAGGTCTTCGCTCCGGAGTTTGAGAGAGCTGCAAGGGTCAGTCTTTTAATCGCGAAAAGTAAAATAGAATCTGATTATGGAAATGTGTTTCTAAGTCAGGAAGATACTAGAGAAAGGCCTGAGTTTGAAAGAGCTGCTCCATGTGTTTCATGTTTAAAAGATGGACTTTTAGATTAGAAGTTATGTTTTCATAATATATATATTTAATAATGGTTGACACTGACTTTATTGCCCTTGCAGCTAGGAGACGGGGTTGCCCACTTTGGGAAGGTGAACTGTGACATGTACTCAGACCTGTGTCAGCAGGCCTGGGTCAGGGCATACCCCACATTACGTTTCTACAAACCAAACATCGAAGGAAAACAAAAAGTAAGTTTGAAAACAGTCTAATCTTTTTCATGGAAATAGCAAAAGGAGAAGAAGAAATGATGTTGCCCTAAATACATTGCAACTTAGGGAGGATAATGATTACAGTAGCAAAGTTTGGAGTATTTTTTGGTAATGGATGAAATTATCATCAGTTCTGTTGTTCCCCGTCTTCCAAGGGTTGCAACAGAGCACAACTGGTGCTGTTACATGCTTCCAATGTTTCACTTGACAACATGTAATATCTTCTTTCTCAAACAAATTCTGTGTGCAGTACTATAATGATATCCTTTTGTCTCTTACAGAATATTTTTGGAGAATCTATAAACAGTCAGAGTGCAGAGTATATTGTGAACTATATAAAACAGAAAGTTGGGAACCGCAGGTTACGGGTGAGTAGGAAACTGTTTTTACCTTATTTTTCCTTTCAATGAACATCAAAAACAGATACTATACTATACAGTGTGCTATATTTGACTGTATGTCACTTGCATGAATATTTGTTCACAAAATTATTTGCTATATTCAGTGAGTGTGGTATTGTATTCTATGGCTATGCAAACTATTTGTTGTCTTGTAAGTACATTGTACAAACAAGTGATCTGTATTATCATGAAAGTTCATCTGTATTGGTAGTTACATGTTTAGAGTTAAAACTTTGGTCTAACACAAAAAAATTCTCTCACATCTTGTATGATGATTTAAATTTTTCCTCTTTGCCTTTTTCCTGTAGGATGAACTATAATGCAGGGTCCAAGCCGTTTAGAAGATTATCTGGCCTGAGATGTAGAGTCTATGATGTCACCATAGAAACCATGATGTCATCACATAATCCATGATGTCATCACAGAAACCATGATATCTTCACAGAATCTATGACATCACCACAGTATCCATGATGTCATCATCACAGAATCTACAGCTACACCATTGAATCTATGATGTCATCACAGAATCTAAGATGTCACTACAATAACCAAGATTTTTCTTCAAAGCAATGATGTCATTATGCCATATATTAATGGTGCAATAGGAATTATAGTTGTGTATCATTGTGTCAAGTGCCTCCAGTTTTTCCTTTTTAGTAGCTCATATAACTGCGGAATACTATATTCTTTGGAAACCAATTTTGTAAGGTAGCTAAGAGCTGGTCATGTGAGACAATAAAAATGTGCAGGGGTGGCCAAAGCAGTGTAAGTTGTGTCGCTATTTTGTAAACAGATGATTTGTTAAATATTTTGCTGCCAAAAACTTAGTTCGTCATGCATATTAGAAATGATTGAACATAGTTACCTGACATTGGTTCTTGTGAAACTTCAGAATCTGTAGTTTTACACTTTTGGGTCCAAGCAGTTGTATCTATTTATATTGGAGAGCAATACTGTATTACATGCTCAGGAGAATATGTACAGTTATGGTTATGTACATGTAGTGGTATGTGTTACTGTTTTATGATCTCTCTTTTACACATGTATGTGAAAAGAGAGATTTCCCACTTAAAGAAACTAGACTTAGCTACCTGCTGAAGTGAGGCTTTTATGTTGAGTACTACATGTAGAATTCTCAAGCATTTTTTCAAAGTCACTGCATATTTTTTTTAGTAATAGTTACTGGTAAACATATTCTTTTTTCAAATTATCCATAATACTATGGTGCCATGTATATGTAAAGATATTCAATAAATTTATCCCACTATGACCAAATATGCTTTGCAGTGCAGGGGTGTCAGTTTGGTGGAATACAAGTAGGCACAAATTAGCAATAATTATTTAATGCACTTAATAGTCACACATGGATGTTTGTTGCAAAAATTTTCATCATTGTGTGAGTTTGACCAATAGTAAAAGCATGGGGAGTCTTGAATTAACCAAGGAGGTTAAATTTAACCTCCTTGAATTAACACAATGTTGTTATGCTTCTACGGTGTCCTCAGTAATGTTTTTAGCCAGTTCTGTTAGCATCTTTTGCCCACTGCAGGCTGTACATGTAGTCATCTATTAATTTGACATCACACAATAAACAGGAGGTTGAACAGAAATAAAAATGGTGTCCTGGACCCAGACTCTTGTCTTCCTTTAAGTTTTATACATATTTTACATTGTGTATTGAATTGTCACTACGCTGGTATTAGTTGCCAAACTGAATGCGGCCACACTTACAGGACGCTACAACTTCCTATTAAGTAAGAAACATCATCAGCGTGTCATGTTGAATGTTTGCCTTCGTGAGAAGGGTATGCTTTCAAGCGGCAATCACTGTACACTTCTACCTTGTACAAGTATACTGAAGGCGTTGTAGTTCCTAGTAATATTGCTGAATGGCGCTGTGAGACCATCGGATGACCGTGTGAGACCATCTGGTATCTCTGATTCTGGTATGGTCTCGCGCCACGAGCCGACCCCAAACCATCTGAGGATGTTGCCAGTACGTCACCAAAGGCGGACTTTCATATGCGGGGATACTGTCATCATGTTCTCCTGCATAGGAAAATAATCATTTATATCAGAATACATCATAGTCATAGTGCGGTCACGCGGTAAAATACGTCTGTGAATGCTTGTATTCCCACAAGACAAGCGCAATATTTAACGTAAAATTTGTCCTAACTTACTCGTTCCATCACGGATCCCTACGCCGCCACCTTGCTTTGTCAGGCGTTTAAACTGTGGTGAGGTAGATAGTCACCAGAGAAGTTACAATATAGTCATGTATGGATGATTTGAACATGTTAATATGGTAGATTGTGAAACCAGTATTGAGGTTTGTCACGTCATTAGGTACATGCCAGAGTTTCTTTTACATGATTGTAACTTCCATAGTATAAAGTTTCCTATAAATGTTTACCCTTCGGAACCCACGTTTCAATACACACACTAGCATATCTTGATTGTATATCTGATATACAATGAGCAGTTCAGTCAATGATACCACCCAGCGGTTTGACCGATCGAGGAAGGCCGTAGGATCAACCCCTATAAAATCGGCCTGTTCACCCTCGCGCGCATTGATCTCCAAAAGGCGTTACCAAGGCCACTAGTTTCGGTTACTCACGTATAATTATTTACCTGATGACGTCCTTACCTGGTGCGCACAAGTACCAAGTACACAATGGGATTTGAACGATCAGACTGGTTTGGTTACACAGTCACGCCACCGCACAAAACTTGCATGTGACGCAGGGGAAAAGCTCACAGCGTGTGGCATCTGTTTCGAGAAAAAGGACAACTTGTGTCGTCCATGTAAGTTGACTATTCACAAACTGCACAATACTATATTGTATCGCCTTTATACAGGTAGCTGCCATACAAATTAATGCTAGGGCACAAACATTAATTCGCCGTATACGATAGGTTTGCGATAATAAACTGAGGGCATTCAAATATTCCGTCGACACGGTGAATGTGTCCTTACGCGGTAGTTGCGTCTTGTAGTGGAAAAGGTAGGCGCACTTGGTCGACATCTGGTGGTTCTATAAGTCTTTATCTGCAAACAACAACAGGTCGACTTTTTTGACCTGCACTCAGAGCTGAGTGTTACTTGTCCGCCATTTTGCTTGCCTCTTTAAAAGGGTCGGAACAAGAGGTTCGATAAAACCTGTCATGCATGCATGGTATGTCTGAAAAGTGATTTCTTACACGGAAGCCGTTCAGAACTGGATAGCCAGCGTCGAATTATAACGGGTTCCGCACCGAATTTTCGAGTGCTCGGCGACTCTTTCAGACGCTGGAAGCCGAGTTCTCACATCAATCAGTACTGGGTTCCTGGTGCTTACGTCTAGCCTCCACCAGGCGCAAAAGTACCTAAGTAACGGGTTCCTCCCTCAGTACTCGGTGTTCAGTACTGAAGGTGCCTTCCGAACTGAACTTCCAGTTCGGAAGTTCTGTCAGAACTGGGCGTCCAGATCTGAGGCGACTTCAGAACTGGAAAACTCTGAATCAGTTCTGGAAACCGAGAACTGAACGTTCCTTCCGTACTGGAAAACGCGGAGCGGCTTTGGCGTGAGTATACTATAGCCCGGCTTACAAGCGCTGCCGGGCGGACTAGTAAAGCCGGGCAAGCTGCCGGACGGCCGCCGCAACATAAGGCGAACACGGCTGCCGGAGGACAACGAGAATACCTACAGGAAGCGTCTACGGGAGACGAGAGAAACTGAGGCGGCTAACAACGAAGAGCGGGCTGTTGAAGATCGGCACGTCGACCAGTTATAGACCAATACTAGTTTATACGTTGTTGATGTCAGCAAGGCTACTTCTACTACTGTATTGAGACATATCGTATTCAGTACTGGAACATCCCAGTACAATTAGAACGTGAGAACAGGAAGCCCAGTTCGGAAATAATTTGAAAACTCGGCTTCCAGTACTGTAGAGTCACTTTTTACTGGTCAATCCAGTACGGAACCCGTTACTTAGGTACATCGACACTCGGCTTTCCAGTACTGAATGACCTCCGAACTGGGTAACCAGTACTGAATGACCAGTTGAACCAGCCTTCCTGTAGCCGGGACGCAACACAGTACTGGGGTCCGAGTACCGACGGGCGTTCAGGTCTGGAAAACGAGTTCCGAAACAAGATTCAGTTCTGAACTTCCAGTTCTGACGAAGCTTCAGTACTGGAATAACGCCGTTCCGAACTGGAATTCCAGTTTAGAGCTTTCTTCAGAACTGGACCCCGAGTATCGACGCTATTTTCTCCACGGTTTCCGTACTGGGCGCCCAGTGAGGAACCCGTTACTTTCGTACCTTTGCCCACCAGGCCTTTCTACGGGCAATAACGGATCGTAGAATTCGGCAAAAAGGATCAAATGGGCCAAGGGAGTCCGGCCGCGGGGAGGTAGTTTCGTTCCCTCCGAAGCATACAAGTATTGTCACCCCAAGGCGGCCAAACTCCCCCTATACATGTAGCATTATGTTAGACACATTACCAACTAGTAGAATCTATTATTTGCCTAGCCGTGGCGACTCTTGATTCGGGCTTACATTGCATTACCTTGCTGAGGGTAATGCAATGTAAGCCCGAATCAGTCCAGTCCAGTCCACCAACCCATCCAGAAATTATCAGTGGTAAGCTGGGATGTGATATCCCATGTACCTGAGTCATACATACTCAACGGCCACGTATCTCTGACACCACATTCCAAGAGTAGACGGGTCCATTTGCTTCCCGGGCGCTATGATCTTGAAAATCATTGAGGCAGCATCTCGATACCAGCTTTTTAAAGGCAAGGTCACGGTTTGCTGATTCAGAGTTTTCCAACTTGCTGAAGCCGCCCACAGTGAACAATTATTACAGTAACTGTAACATCGAGTGTTGACGTGCATTCGTGGGCATTCGCTAAAGAGAGAAACCCACTCTGGGAAAGGAACCTGTTACTTCCTCAAATCGGTACTTTTGCCACCTCGTGCACCCTGATGCCAGGTGTGACATGCATTTTTTTTCAGGAGGAAGAAATCTGGTGGTTCATTCCCAAGCATCAGATTAGCAAGCTCGGAAACAGCATGGATACATATGTCAATAATTCTCTAGTACAGGTGAGTTTACACACAACAGTTCAGAAGTTAATGAGATACAGTTAAAACAGATTTATAGTGTCATGTAATACTCCACTCGTACCTATCAAAGGATGACATGTTCTTACATCTTTGAAGTTAACTACAATGTAATAGAGACGCTGTACATGTCGTAAATGTCTGAACAAGAGGGAAGAAATGTGTAAAACATAGCATTTTCCTATTTCCTACTTATTTGTAGCCTACTAAGCTTATATTTAGCCCATAAACTTCATTGTCATTATTATTACCTCCATGACATGTCATGCAGGTTATATTTACCTTCGCCAAGAAGGTTATGTTTTCATTGGTGTTCGTCTGTTTGTGTGTGTGTGTCTGTTTGTGTGTCTGTCTGTCTGTCTGTAAACACGATAACTCAAAAAGGTGGGTAGGTCTTGATGAGACCTCAAAATTTTGGGCCCCCTAATGGCTTGTTATGGTACTGCAGCAGAACTTCCGGTTTTTATAACTCATGATCTAGCCATGCTATATAGGGGTACGAAATTTAAATGATAGGTAGTTCTTGTACTGGGGAAGAAGTGACGTAAGTTTGGGCCCCCTAGCGGCTTGCTCGGGAACTGCGAGGGCAGTTGTTGACAAATATTTAAAGGAGGATAACTCAGAACCGGTTGACGGATTATCATGAATTTTGGTATGTAGATAGCTTGAGTGATGCTTGACATAATTATATGGAATTATGCAAATCTGGATGTAGTTTGCATAATCAATGCGGAAATTCTATTAATCAAGATAGGACTATTCAAGCGGTGACATGTAATTGAGAACAAGAGAAATATAGGCTGATATTGATTATGTGAATGAAGACTTAATTTGCATAATTAATGAGAAAAGTTATTCCATAATTCCATAGTGGTAACTGCCTGGAATTACTTTGGGTTTTTGAAAGTTGATTGAAGATGAACATGTATGTGCATCACTGGCAGTATACCTAATGTTAATATGTTAAGTACAATGTATGAACCTAATGTTGATATGTTAAGTCTTAGACAGATACACAATGTACAGTGCAGTTCAGTATCACTCTCTACCTTGAGGTATCACTCCCTACCACTCCTTGAGTGGAACGAGCCAATGGGGAAGTTAAGGGCATCCCTGCAGAAAGGTTTTCCAAAGGGTTTCCAGGAATTTCACTAGGTAGGACTTAGATGTCACGGGCATTATGTGTCAGCAAAACTCCAGAGCTGAGACATGCCTGTGGACATTCCATGAATGTGGATAAAAGCTGAGTAATAATATATGTAATATAGCAAAAGTAAGAATAAGGTCCCGTGGGCTTGTGTCATAGGCACCTTCGTACCTGAGGAAATAGAAGGCAAAATATAGTACTGTTATATCTTAATCTAAAAATTGCCCAAAACTGAAAAAGTCCCCAAATACATCATTCTGAATGTCTATCTTGAAGGTTCATTCAAATATGTTTGAATCGTTCCCTACAACCCTGAAAACATATTACAGATTTGTACAGTTAAATGTATACAGTAACTTGACTTTGCTTTTAGCAGGGAATATGTAATGTTATACATTTTGCTTCTTTTTTTTTGTTCACAGTTACTGTACAAACACAAGGGTGTTACTCAGAGGGAGATCTTTCAAGTCTTTACAAGCTATGAAGACCTGAAGCCCAGCATTGAACCACGTACATTTTCTAAATGTTATCTTAATCAAAAGCAGTGTTCAGTCTAAATGGTATTTATTAATATATCAATCATGGTGCTTTCTGAATTCTGCCCACGAAAATAGGCTTAAGCCTTATTTTTTTAGCACATTTCACTTCTGGTAATGTCAATTTTCACTGGCTCATTATAATTGAAGATTCTAATATATGTAATGTGTTGGAAATTCACCCGCATTATATCACAGTGGTGGTGTAGTCATCAGTATAATAGATGACTGAACAATTAACTTTTCCAGTGAAGCTATATAGATTTTGATAACTTCTCCATTGTGAGTGAAAAATGAGGGTCTGCATTGTTTTCTCACAGTTAAACTTCATGATGGCAGAGAGGACGTCTTCCTCACATTGCAGGGAACTATTCCAGTACAGTACAAGGGTAAGGCCTTAAAACACATATCATTATTTCAGGGGATTCATGTAATTAGAATACTGCAAATTTTACTTACCCAAAATCTTTTTTGAAACCTATTTATGTTTACCGAAGTAAA